ATTTGATGAAATCTTAGACCGACATGCTCCTTATAAAATACTAACCAACCAACAAATTAAACTAAAGTCAAAACCTTGGATTACGTCCCTAGTGGCAAAGAATATTGGCGCAATATTGGGGCGATATTGTTTACAATATTGGCGCAATATTGTAAGCTATATCGGGCCAATGTTGCAATGTGAACATTTTGCCAATATTGGCGCTACAATATTGCGCCAATATTGTAAAGTCAATATTGGCGATACAATATTGCACCAATACTGTAAAGTCAATATTGGCCAATATTGGCAAAATGTTCACATTGCAACATTGGCCCGATATAGTTTATAATATTGCGCCAATATTGTAAATAATATCGCGCCAATAATGGGGATATTATACTGGCTAATATTGGCCTAATATAGTTTACAATATTATCCTGGTATATATAATATATATATATAACTAAGGCAATATATTGAGTACTTTTGATTAAATTTTTATTATTAAAAAATAATAAAAAATATTGCCTTCTACAAAATTGTAATAATTAAAATTTATAACAGTTTTCTTGTTTAAGTGATACTATAGTACTAGGCTGCATTATTCTTTTGAGTTAAACAGTTTATAGTCTAAGAGATGACAATGATCATAGAACACGCTTTAGAAAAAAAAATTCGAAATCATTAAATTTATTTGAAGTTATATGAAACAGATACAAATGAAAAAAAGAGGTATAGAGTTTTCCAAAACCAAAATATAACAAAATAAAATCAATGCTATTTAAATACAGGTACAAAAAATATTTTTATATATATATATATATATATATATATATATATATATATATATATATATATATTTTTTTTTTTTTTTTTTTTTTAACAACTTCACTTCCAACAAGGCTGCAAGCAACCACTATAAGAGTTGGAAGTTACTGGAAGAGAAAAGACTAAATCTGTAGAGCTAGATAACGATTGACTGATGACTTAAAAGATTGCAAATTATATGGATCAGGAAAGCAAGATGAAGGAAGCGAATTCCAAAGAACTGATGTTCGAGGAAAAAAACTAGAAGAATAAGAGTTTTTGAAGCACTTAGGAACAGTCACAGAAAAAGGATGAGACTTAATTGAATGGCGAGTAACACGAGAATGAATTTTAGTAGATGGCACAAGAGACGCTAGCTCTTTAGAGCAGTGCCCATTATAGTATTTGTAGAAAAGAGAAAGAGAAGCAACATTACGACGATGTGACAAAGGTTGGAGATTGGCTGCCAGAGCAGGTCCAACTATGTTTACAATTCGTTTTTGCACCTTGTCTAAAAGAGAAAGAGCATCATTAGAAGATCCGCCCCAGATGTGGCAACAGTATTCCATACAGGGACGGATTTGAGATTTATAGAGATAGAGAATAGAATCTGGAGTAAGAAAGTGTCGAGCTCGATAAAGAGATGCAACCTTAGCAGATGCTAATTTTGCAATGGATTTGATATATGGTTTAAAAGAAAGATCAGAAGTAAGAGTTAATCCTAGAAGATGAATGGTAGATGACTCATCTAGTACATTACCATTCATAAATATAGGAAGATCTAAATTATTACGATAACGATTGGCCGAATAAAATTGAGTTTTATCTGAATTAAAGTTCACCAGCCACTGTGAGCCCCATGCTGTAGCAGAAGTGAGATCCTTTTCAAGCTCAGATACCCCCTCCAAGCAATCAGAGAGTGTAGGCTTCTTATCATGACAAGAGTAAATGGTAGTGTCGTCAGCGAATAATGCCACCTTAGATGTGAGAATATCTGGAAGATCGTTAATGTAAATTAAAAAGAGTATAGGGCCAAGGATTGAACCTTGAGGAACCCCTGAAGTAACAGGATGTGAAGAAGAGTGTTGTCCATCGAGGACAACTTTTATACTACGATTGGAAAGAAAGGACTCAATAATCTTAAAGACGTTACCAGCTACACCATAAGAAGAAAGCTTATGGAGAAGACCAGCATGCCAAACTTTATCAAAAGCTTTAGAAATGTCAAGTGCGATAGCCTTAACCTCTCCACCTCTATCTAATGCACGGTAAAACCTATCGGTTATTACTGTTAGCACATCAGCTGTAGAACGAGAAGACCGAAATCCATATTGATGATCAGAAAGTAAGTTATTTGATTCAAGATGAGAGATTAAGTGTTTGTTGATTAAAGATTCAAAAACCTTGCTTATGACAGGAAGAAGACTAATGGGACGGTAGTTAGATGGATCAGATCGCTCCCCGGAATTTTTGAAAATAGGGATAACAGATGCTGCTTTCCAGCATGATGGAAAACAAGACTCTGATAAGCACTTGTTAAATAGTTTAGAAAGTATGGATGAAAGCTCCGGAGAACACCTCTGCAAGACTACAACAGGAATGTTGTCAGGACCACAAGCTGTTGAAGAGTCTAAGCAGGAAATTACTTTAGATACAGAAGCTGAAGTGATGCGAATGTCAAGCAAGGGATCAACCTGTTTGACGGCTATGTCAGGTAAAACGCAACTAGTGGAATCAAGAGATGATATTGATGAAAAGTTCTTAGCAAACAATTCAGCTTTGTCTTTAGGTGAGGTGACAAAGTCTGAACCATACAAGAGAGAAGGAATAACAGATTTGCCCTTATTATTGATACTGTTAAAGATTCTCCAGAAGTCTCGAGAGCCTAATTTTTGTGATGAGATACGAGATTTAATGACCTGGGAATAGCGAGCTTTGGCGTCAGACAAAACCTTTTTACAATGGTTTCTGGCGATAGTGAACAGATGTCTGTTTTCTGGAGAATTGTTTTGCTCATAGATATGGAAGTAACGGTTTCGATTAGAAATTGCTACTGCGCAATGTGAGGAAAACCAAGGAGAAGAGTGAGGCTTGACCTGGAATCGTCGAGAGGGAATAAAAGATTCCATGCCAGCCTGAATCCACGAAGTTATGTAAGAAGCACATTTGTCAGCAGGAAGACGAAAGATTTCTACCCAAGGGCCATCACGAAGAAAATCACGGAAAGAGTCCCAGTCAGCTTTAAGGTAGTTGTATGTGGTACGATGATAGGGGGATTCTGATGAAGTAGAAGAATTTGATAATAGTTTTAGAGAGATCAAACCGTGATCAGAAGTACCTAAGGGTGAATGTGGAGAAATTGAGCACTGACTAGGATCCAAAACAAGACATAAGTCGAGTAGAGAAGGTAAATGATTAGGGTTGTCTGGAAATATATATATATATATATATATATATATATATATATATATATATATATATATATATATATATATATATAAACTACTGTATTATACTCTCACTATGAGATAGTGGGCATCGACTTTCATTATTTTGGCGATACTTAATTCATTGCTCAATATTGGGCGTTGCTCAGTTACGGTTCTATTTTTCGTCCGTAATCTCTATTAATGGCCGTTGCCAGAAAGCTGCCAATTTTTTCTTAAATACTTTTGTCAGTGGCAATTTCGAAATGAAAGAATACAACGATAAATGACTAAAGGCAATTCTAAAAAAACGTTTTTTCAATATCATCACAATATAATTTTGATATATATAATTTCTCACGTATAAATATTGTAAAATAATTAGCTTTTATTAAAATATTGTTTTATTAAAAGGAAATGGGATGTAGAATACAAATATTGTGCTTTACCTATAACAACCTTGCAGGACGTTTTTGTTTCCTTCCATACACTGCAAGGGTTGAATTAAGGCATCGCGATTTACGATATCTGTTAAATTATCTGGTCTTCAAAGTTTCAGTTTATGGAAAACCACGAAATTTACGGAATAGGCGAATAAACTTTAATTTGTTAGTGAAAATGTTATGAAAAACAAAACAACAAATTTATGACTACAAAAGTAATAACACTACAGTGTTGTTACTTTTATAACACTCTTTTAAGTTACATTTATAGTTTATTGTTTTATCAAACAACACATAATCAAGCTATTATAAATTAAAATGATTTAGTTAAGTAATTCCAAACTTTAATTAAAGTAGTAATGCATCTAGAAAAAATACAACGGATATTTAAACAATGTTAACAACCTAAGCAACTTTTAGAAATACATATTTTTATAAACAGTTTAGCATTTCTAAACATCTTACTAACGGTCCGGAAAAAACGCGCGTTCACTTTAAAATCAACCAATGAAAACACTGGTAATTTACTTCTTAGGAAAAATCTATATTAAATGGCGAAGGGTGAGGAGGCTATAAACTTAAATTTTGTTTTATTATTTAATCAATTAAATCATAATAAAAGTAAAGACAAAAAAATATATTTCTAAATATACTTCTTTATAACTAAAATTTATTAAATTGAACACCTCTGTTTTTAGTTTTAAGTAAATGTCAGTACTACTCTCAGTGGCGAAACTGCGGGAGGAGGGGGTTATAGCAGACAAAAAGTGTCCTATTTTTAAGCTAATTTTAGGTTGCATGGGCGATGTGGGGCTCATTTTGAAAATCGTGCAGAGGGATGGGGGGGGGGGAATTTCGCTACTTTTATAATAAAAGTGCTTTAAGGTGCTTAATGGGGGGAGAGTTGATAATTTTTGGAAAACTTCTCCTCCCACACCAAGCTTATTAAAACCCAACCCCCAACCCCGTTTTGTTCATTTTCACTTGTTATAAACAAAAAACTATATCTCAAAACAAAAATTCAGTGAAAATTGGCTTTAAAATTAAACAAATGTATATTGGTAACCGATAAATAATAAAACTTTCATTGTAAATCCTCCCCTTTTTTTTTATCATTTCCTCCTCCCATTTTACACATCCGGACTAAAATTTCCACCCCCACCTACCTTTGTATTAAGCACATTAGAGTAGTCAGTAGCAAATCGCGATGCCGTAATTCAACCTTTGCACTGAATATGAAAAACATACTTCTTTGGCCATTAGCTGTATTAAGATTGCCGCTGCAAGTTGTTTCTCATCTCCTCCAACCGAAGTAAGAAAGTTCATCTAAAATTAGAAAACAAAAATATGACATTATGGAAGAGTAAAAGCAATTGGTTATAAATAGATTATGACATCTGTAGCGGTGAATACACCCTACAGATGTCATAGATATCTGAGATTAGTAGTCATTGCTACACAAAATACATTGCTAACTGGGCATAAAAGATAAAAATCACAATAAAATTTAATAAACATTTATATAAAACATTCTGATATACAACATAATTATAGTCAATCACGTATCATTTTGTATCATTTGTTTGTATAATGTTTCATATAAATGTATCACATATTTTAAAAATTAGAAACTTTAAAAGTACATGGTACTGTTTCCAAAAACTATTAACTAATATCAAGTCACTGATATATACTATTGATTCATAAGGTGTCTTTGTTCCATAATTTTTCTTCGAGGTTAAGAAGATCTTTTTTTTTCTATAAACGGCAAATAAATTCAATAAATCGAAAGAGATTGTCAAACAAAGCTCTGATAGAACCACTTAACCCTAAAACACTTAAGATTTCTTCAATCTTTGATAAAATGTAAGACAATCTCATCAGTGTCACTTTTTTGTAACCTGCATCCTTTTAAGCTGGAGGCACAGATAATTCCGTTCTAAAGCAGTCTCATAACTGTCAAAAAAAAGTATAAAGAAGAGATGAAACAATACTAAACAATCAACATTTACTATATTTGAGTCAAATATAGCTGTTTAGATAAAAAACAAAGACAATACTTAAAACAAAACAAAAACAATATTGTAAATAAGACAATTACCAAAAAATTCTTATTTTTAGCTGCTTTCAGTTACTTTTAAGCGTGACATTACGAATGGAAGCCTAAAGGCAAGATGCTTGCAAGTGATTTGGCCAATACACCAAACTTTCATTGATCCGCCATGAAAAACAGATTACATTCATGGCACACATATTGTTTTTTCAATGAAAAATTCAGCCAGAGCAAATTTTGTAAACTTTATTACCACCTTCAGTTTAACGGTACATCAGCTAAAAAATAATCACAAATAAATTTATTTTATTTCATTAAAAAAAACTTTAGATTAACTTTTTTTTTCAGATTATTATCTTTTTTTAAACTGAAAATATTAGTGTAAAAATTATTGAGCTTCATTTCTTAATGTTTAATGTAATCGCTTTTTATTGCAAGTAGAGTTTAATTATTGGTTAGTAAAAAAAAGTGAATTTTAAAGTTTGCGAAATTTGGAAAGGTTTCTATGATAATTTTTTCTTATTTAAATATGACATTAAGGAAGATAAACAACTTGAGGCTCTAAGTAAATATTTACCCCGAGATTACGAGATTCAAATTAGCATGAGATTAAGATCTCATGCTTAATTGAATAAGTTAGCCAGGCATAGAATATTTTTCTCAGTTATGGAACACTGAAAAAAAGTGTTTTTAATATACAACACTAAAAAAATAAACATAAAACTTATTTGGTGTTTAGTTAATTTTAATAATTCGGTTTTTAACTATAAGAATTTTGATATAACATATTGTTATTATGATTAATGTTGTCATTATTATTATTTTCAAAGGTTATAATTTTACAAATAGAATAATTAGGTATATAAAAAAGCCTATCAACCTTTTGTTCTATTGTATCTAACTGTGTCGGTCTAATTGTTTATATGCAATTGTACATTTGATGAACCCAAGATGCATCTAGATGTTTTTTAAATGTGGTGACAGATGTTGAACACTATTTCAGATGATAGACTATTCTACAAATTTGTGAATTCCATATTAGAAAGGTTTTTTCCGGACATCTGTCTTACAAAACATTTTTTTCAATTTATAAGCATGATCGGATGTTGTTAAGTTGGAGTTAGTCGTAATGGAGGAATAAATACTAACTAAATATATAATCATATGTTAATATTAGGAAGTGGCCATATTAACATGCATGCTATTACAACTCAGATTAACTACTTAATGGTCTGTAATTACAATAATAAATATAATGGCTGTGCAGATGATATCATTCTGACACAGGTGTTGATAGATAAAATACTGAATGGTATTTAATGAGGAAAAAAAATGGTTCCAAGTACAATTATAAAGATTGTGAATACATTTGTAAGTTTCTGCCATGTCATTACATAAGAAACGATAGCTAATGCTAGTTAAATTTAGCCTCAGTAGTCTTTGGTTGTAAGTGAGTCCAGTCTGGCCAAAAACAAATTTACTAGACTAGCATAGAAAACTTTAAACTAATTGTTGATATTTTTGAAGTCTAGGATAGCAGACAGAGCTGCAAGAATCAAGGTGAGGACGAACAAGGAAAATAAACAAAGTACAAAATGTCAAGATATTGAGATTGACAAAAGATCTTTTGATCATTCCTACAACTTTATTGGCGGTGTTATTCTTAGTACTTACAAAATAAAATTCAAATTACTGTCAATGAAGATCCCTTTATTGACGAGAGAGTTTTTAATATTAATTGAAGTATTGAGATTTTTATTAACGAGTATATAAATGAATTTTGTATTTGTTGGTCCTAAGGACATAACTTTACATTTTTTTACATTAAAACTTAGTTTTTATAGTTTTGCACAGTTTGCTATAATGTCCATACTATATTGCAGGTTATTGCATGCTGAGCTATCAAAAAGCAAACTGTATAACTTAGTATCATATGTAAATACAGATACAACATCTAAAACCAAATCAGAAAAATCTTTATTATATATCATAAAAGTAAATAATGGGGGACCCCACTTTTTACTATTATCCATTCTGAGTATGTACCACCAACAATGATACTCAAATCCAATCTCTCAGGTAAAATTCAAATCCAATTGTAGAGTTAGTCATCTATTCTATAAGCTTTTAATTTTAGAATTTTAGAAGTAGGAGATAGTTGTTAAATGGGTTGAAAGCTTTCAATATATCTGATATAAATGTTACTCCAAATTCTATTGTATACATCCCTTTAGGAAATGGTTCTGATAGTTTTCTTCATGAAACACAAGTTAATGTAGAGAATTTTCCAGTTTCCTATTCGGATAAAAAAACTCTTTATATTATCTGGTGATTTAACCTATCAAATAAAGAATAATAGAATAATATAAGTAGGTGTAGAACTAGAATCAGAAGGTAACAAACCAACAACATCATTAAATGCAACATTCAAAGAGAAAACAGAGCTTAAAAAATACTTTGTTAAAAAAAAAATTTGGCACGGTTTAATTTTGCAATGAAATCTTTTGACTTTTTAAGGAACTTGATAAGCATAATTCTAGATATAGGAAACTGAAACAAAGATGTAAAAAATAATGTAAGCTGTGGCTATGCCAAGTTAAATTTATCTTTTTCTTAACAATTTGTAAGAAATGACTATTGGTTAAAACCGAATCTGGATTTTTGAGAGATACAATGCTTTTATTAATATTTAGATAATCCAAGACAGTGTTGGATGCTAAAATTAAAAGTAAGCTTAACTTAAGTGACAACGAAGAAAAATAAGGGGTGGATCATTACACTTTGCTAAAGTGTTTGGTGGATCATTACTCTTTGCAAAAGTGATTGGACCGAATTTTTTGGTTTCAATAAATAAAATTATGAAAATCAAAAAAATTTGTGCTTCAGTATTCCTAATTTAAAATTTTGACTTACTTTCTTGAGTTATAGATGGAGCAACCATTTTTTCAGGACTATTGTTAATACCAACACCTAAAAATAAGGGAATTAAAGTAAGCATTACTAGAGTTCATAATACTTTAACCAACAAACAAAAATAGATAAATAAATGTAAAAAGAAATAAAGAATTTCTTACTCAAGTCCATTTTCGTGAGTCCATTTTCGTGAGTCCATTTTCGTTCAATACTATTTTTAGGTTTTTGTTATAAAAAAGACAGTTTAAATAAGGGAAAACTGTAGTTTAAATAGTGAAAATCAAGCTTTTAACTTTCTTGCACAATGCATAGCTTATACCTGGGAAGACGTAAAATATTTATTTTCATTTGATTAGAATTTTAAGAACTATACTTTCACTTTCAATTTAATTTTCATAATTTGACTAAAACAAACGCAAAAATCAAAACAAATAACGTCATAAAATACGCGAAGAAAACCATATATATACACATAATTTATATATGCAATTCCTTAGTACCAATTCTTTAGGTAAACTTAAATAAATACATGTTTTAAATAGAGGAAAGGCTAAACTAACCATTTCCACCTGGACGTTTTTCAAAAACTTTTTTTTTTCATATAAATTAACCTTGAAGTTTTTAAACGCTGAGAACTAAAATTTTTTGTATGAAAGTTAAAAACGTCCAGGTTCCATTAGATTCCTCGTCCTTTTCTTAATAAATATGGAAAGTTTTATAAAAAATAGATGTGTTAAAGTTCTAAGGAATCCATAACTTCAAAAGCTTCGTTTTAAAAAAACGTTCCCGCGGCAAGTTTTTTTATGAAAAGTGGTCTTAAGATATGGACAATATATAAATGAAACCGTACAAAACTTAGTACTTTCTATATATGGTTGGATAGAGATTGAGTAGCACTAACTGATGCAAAAAAACCTCAAGGCGCTTGCTTAACTATACAAAGAGATATAAGAGAGCAAAGTTTATGAAAATTATGTGTTTTTTGTCAAACGTCAAATGTTTTTTGTTAAGCCGTGGAATCGTTAGCTATAGCTATATAGTATGCCTATATTATTTATATAGTATGTAATATAGATAACACAGTAACACTACTTGCTTTTGTTTTTTCTGTTGAAAATAGACAAACTTGAAAAGAACCAAACAACGTTTCACGTATTCGAATAAGCCTCGTAAAACTGTAAAACGAATTTTCAATCCAGTACATTCTAATTTGTTAAAACTTAAACAGATTTATACATCAAGAATAGATGAAAAATAATGCAATTATTGTTCACCCCTATAGCAACGCGTTGCTATGCAAATATTTTTCACTTGATTTCAAAAAAACATAAATTAAACAAAAACTTATAAAGAAATGTTTAATTTTTTTTGCAGATTCAAAATCTGCATAAAATTTTGGTCTAAAATTATTAAAAAAAAAAATCAAATTTTTGAAAAAATGTGCGGGTAACTGCCCTGGTTAGGAAGTTCATACCTCCTTTGTAACCGATGTGACAAAACTTGCCCAAAGGTTGGGTTTGAACCTTTTTTTAAGTTACTAACAAGATATATAGGTAGCAGGGGCCCCTATATCTTATATATATATATATACCAATATATCTTTTTCTCGGTCCCTTGGTCCCTTGATAAATTCCGTTAATTTTGTTATATCGTCAGGCCCTTTTTTTTTTAAATTATTATTTTAGGTGCCCCAAGAAGCCCTTACAGTCTCATCAAGGAGCACCGCGGAAGTGCATTTGAAAGGAAGTTCACGCCTCTTTCTTTACCAATGTTATGAAACTTGCCCAGAGGTGGCGTTGAACCACGGATCGCTAGTTTCTGAGGCAAGCGCGCTAACCACTGCGCTACGGCTGCTAATAATTTAACTCAATCTTTTCTAAAATTAATATCCTTTTCATTTAATTGATAGATCAATCATAAGGCTATTTTGCAATTTCAAAAATAGTTTTGAGGTAAATCATTTTTTAGAATATTTGTCTAAGTTTAACCTTAAACACATTAAACATTGTAAAAATTTAAGGTTCAGTAGTGAGTATTTTATTCCATGCCTTTGGCCATAACTTGTAATTACTTGAACGCGCGTGTCCATATTAAAAGCCTACAAAAGTTCTATTATTTATACAAAAAAATGTTTAAACTTTCAATTTTAGCATTATTAATATACTGGTGCTAAGCCGAAGATGATCAAAATTACATAATTTGAGGCGCAGCTGACAAGAATTGAGGATACGACTCTCTTTAGGAAGACAAATTTTAGGATTTTGATATTTTATTGTTGTTTAATATGTTTTAACTATTATTGTCGTTTAATTATAACTATATTAATTTATTATATTAATTTATTGAAAATTCCAATAACACAGTATAAAACGTATTCTATAGAAATATAAAATCGGTTTTGTTAAATCCGCTCTGCATAAAATCCGGATTATTCATAAATCCGCAACGCTAGATTTGTAAGTTAATGAAAATCACCGCGCAAAAGTGCTTATGTTTATCATAAGTTGTTTTATCTGCGGAGCTCTCTTACTTTTATTTTTTTTAATAAATTAAGCGTTGCGCAATTTATGAACGATCATTAATAAGGTTTCCATAAATGGATCAATTACCCAACTATATTGATTAAATGATATCAATGTGCCTGATCCCCGATGTATTAAACCGTAAAACTAAATCTCGGTGTAAACTAAGAAAGAGTTATAAATGTCTTTTTTATTCCTACAAATATTCATATTTATATTATAACCTTAAACAATATGCACATATTTACAAAACTAACTAAAAACGTTTTTTAATTTGGCACCAATTTATCTTCTTCTGTAATGTGAATTATTTCGTTATTTATGGTCATTTTAATTTCATTTATAACTTCGTCGTTTTCAGTCGATTGAAGAGGGGGCCCTATAAAATTTAACATAAATTTAAAAATATTCTATCAATTTAAAAATATTCATCTTTTTTAATTTAAAAATACATCAATTTAAAATGTTCATATAAAACAAATATGAGTTTGTGACTTTTAAATTAGTTTAAATCAAACGTTCTGTTAATTAAGAATGATTTAAAAAAAAAAAAAACTTACGGGAACTACAAAAACGTTTTTTGTGGTATACAAAACCTAAGACCAATAAGATTAACAGTAGACAGGTAAAAAATATTAAACTATACAAGACCTTTCGTGTGGTGAACAAACTTCGTTCATCTAAAAAAAAAAATGCAAAGAACGTTATTTCACTAATGCTTCTTAATTTAATTAATACTAATTAATGCAAAAAATGTTTTTTAATTAATCCCTCCTAAGAAAAGTATTTTAAACAGTTTTTTATTATCGTAAACAATTTTTAAAAGAGTTCGTGAGCAGTAGCGTTGAAAATTTAGATTAACAGAAAATAAGTAAAAAGTTGTTTACTTTTCTTAATGCCAATTGTAAGAGTTCAATTGAATAAATCTGAATTGCGCTTAAACAATATTACCAAGTTAAAATAACAATTCTTTCAAGAAAATAACAAACCTTTTTTATTTTCAAAGTGCTCGTAGTCATTTATTTTTGTGTTGCTAACATATCTACAACAGCAAGTTTCACAGTTTTTATATGAAACACCTTCTTTTAAATCAGCATTACACAAACAAAAAGCGCACGAGACAGGTCCAGCAACAGTAAAAAATATATCTGAGCCATCTTTTTCTTTACCACACGTTATTTGCTCGTCTTTCAACGATTTGGAAAAAGTTATTTTTGTGTGTATGCAGAATACTGATAACAGCAATAGTAATATCATTTTCTCAAAATTTTTGACAATAAAAAATTTGTTTTTTAAATTTAAAATTGTTTTTTTTTTTTACTACACAACTATTGCGCAGTTTTTTCTCTTAGTTTATTACGCAGTTTATAAACTCTTAGTTTACTACGCAGTTTATAAACTCTTGGTTTATTACGCAGTTATTACAGGTTAATTCCTTCAGTAAAAAAAAAAAAGAAAGGAAATTCCCACAATAATCCACATTGGCACAAATGCGTAGAAAAATATTTTTTAACTTCATAAAAGTTAAAAATTGCGATAAAACTTTTTAAATGGCTGCAGTTCTTAAGTGGTTATCATTCTTTTAGATGATCCAAAAATTTGAGGTTTTAAAGAAAGAACAAAACTAAAACAATTTCGCTAGCTTATGCGCAATCGATTTTTTAAACAAATTCAAAACCTAGGGGAGGATGGGTAGGAGTGAGCCAAGGGTAGGAGTGAACCGTTGATCCTACAGCTCAAACGGGAAATAAAAAAGACTCAAAATTTTCAACAAGTAGTTGAATACAAGTTGTTGTTAACACAATCCAATTTTTTTACCCCTTCTTGGTGTGGGTGTCTGCGTTAACGTTATCATCAACCCTTTTCTGTGCAAAAGTAAACTTTTTGTATTTTTTGAAACTTCTTTAATGAGCATTCCGGTTGTTTTGAGACATAAGATAGTGGTTGAAAATTTACTAATAAAACATGTAGTTTTTAGAACAAAGTATTTTACATGCACAAACCACGTACTTATTGAACATTTAATGTTTTAATTCAGTTGCACAGCTTGGGGAGGAATGAGCCATTCCATCACGGGTAGGAGTGAACCGCGGCTAACTAATACTTCACGTTAAAAAAGTTTTGACTTCAACGTAAAAACATATTTACGTTTGGCTTTAATATCTTAGTATATCATTAGAAAACTCGTGTGCAACATTGCATTTATTATTACCACATGTTATAATGCCTCGAGTCTATAAAAGAACAACTTCAAAAGCAAAAACCCCCGGTAAAAATATGAAGGATGCATTACATTCGATCCAAAAAGGAAAAAGTATTAGAGAAACTGCAATAACTTCCAAAATACCCTATCCCAACTCTTCGTCGTTATTGAAAAAAATTTTTGCTCGATGAAAATACAAGACTTAGCCCGAAATATTATGTTAAAAGAATATTTACAGACAAGCAGGAATTAGAATTAAAGGAATATATTTTGACTTGTTCAAGAATGTTCTATGGCCTTCCAATTAAAGAATGTCGGTGTATAGCTTTTGAGATGGCAACCATTAATAAAATTAGTATTCCACAGAAGTGGCACAAAGACTCAATGGCAGGTATTGATTGGATGAATAATTTTAGAAAGCGACATCCAGATTTGTCTCTTAGAACACCTGAAGGATGTTCTCTCTCAAGGGCAACATTTAATTCCCATAATGTAAATATATTTTTTGATAAATTAAAAGAAATTCTTGCTAGATCACCAATATTTGCCAATGGAACTCGGATTTTTAACCTTGATGAAACTGGAACTATTACCGTGCAGAACCCACAAAAGGTATGTTAATCTTCAATAATAAGTATATTTTTATTCGTGGCATATTTTTTCTTATATATAACCTCTAAATGTTTAGGTTCTTGCAAAGAAAGGTGTGAAGAGTGTCTGCAAAGTCACAAGTGCTGAAAGAGGAACCCTTGTCACAACATGTATAATAATCAGTGCTTCTGGACAATATCTTCCACCAGTAATTATTTTTCCAAGAGTGCATTTCAAGGAGCATATGTTGTTAGGAGCTCCTTCTGGATCTCTCGGACTTGCATGTAAAACAGGCTGGATGAACGGTGAACTTTTTTTAGATGTTATGAATCACTTTATCAAGTTCTCGTCAAGTACAAAAGAAAATCCATCATTATTAATATATGACAATTTCGAAGCGCACTTATCTATAGCAGTGTTAAATTTAGCAAAGGAGCATGGAGTGACCATTTTGACATTACTGCCTCATTCCATTCATAAGTTACAACCACTTGATGTGGGAGTTATGGGACCATTTAAAACTGCATATAATGCAGCAATTGATTCCTGGATGCTCCACAATCCTGGAAAAACATTTACAATTTACCAAGTTGCTGCATCTGTAGGGCTTGCTTTTCTGAAAGTCATAACACCATCTAACATTGTAGCTGCTTTTAAAAAGACAGGTATATTTCCTTATGACAGGAATGTGTTTATAGATATTGATTTCATGTGCAGTTCTGTGACAGACAGAACTTTTAATGTTAACAATACTTGCATAAAAAATCGCGTAAGCATTACTTCTGATAATTTTTTTAACCCACATGTTTCACCAAATGCAGACCCCACTACCTCTACTACTATAGATACAAACAAACTAATTACCAATGATACCATGGTTAATCTGTCTACATCATCAGATTTCTTTATCAACCCTAAACAATTCAGAGGTTTTCCGAAATCTGGAAAAAAAAAACTGTAAAAGAAGGGAAAGGAAGAACGGTTGCTCTATCATTGCCACAGACACTCCTGAGAGAGATCGGATTGAGAAAAGGCTCTGCAATAAAAAGTTAGTCAAACTTACAAAAGAATTAAAATCAAATTTACAGAAGATTAACAAAAAATTACTTAAAAAAGACGATTCTGTATTGGAACATTTGACAGCCACAAATGAAAAAGGTTTAATAATCCTAGAAGATGATTTGTGTGCTTGTGATATATATCCTAAAGAAGATGACTTTGTATTGGTTAAATTTGAAACAACAAAAAAAAAATTGTTTTATATTGGAAAGGTTTTATGTGTAAACTCTATAAAAGAAGAAGTTACAATCAGTTTTCTTCGGAAAAAAGGTGATATTTTTAAAGATGCCTAATTCACCAGATATTGTGACTATCCCTAGAATGGATGTTAAATTGTTGCTACCTCGGCCAACTTTTTCTTGAACAAATAAAAGGCAGCATTGCCATTACAAATTTGAGGTTGTGTTTGACTATATCAGTATTTGCTAAATATTATTTTTATTGCCAATATACTATATGCTAATATACTACTTTCATTACATATATGTAATGATATTAAAAGTATATATATATATATATATATATATATATATATATATATATATATATATATATATATATATATATATATATATATATATATATATATATATATATATATAAATATATATATATATATATATATATATATATATATATATATAATATATATGTATTATATATTATATACTATATACTATATATATACTTTTAAAATCATTACATATATGAAATGAAAGTATATATATATATATATATATATATATATATATATATATATATATATATATATATATATATATATATATATATATATATAATATATATGTATTATATATTATATACTATATACTATATACTATATATATACTTTTAAAATCATTACATATATGAAATGAAAGTATATATATATATATATATATATATATATATATATATATATATATATATATATATATATATATATATATATATATATATATATACTTTTATATATATATATATATATATATATGTACTTTTATATATATATATATATATATATATACTTATATTTACTTATATATATATATATACATATATATATATATATATATATATATATATATATATATATATATATATATATATATATACTTATATTTACTTATATATATATATATATATATAAATATATATATATATATATATATATATATATATATATATATATATATATATATATATATATATATATATATATATATATATATATATATATTGTATTTTAATATTTGGAAATTATCATTTGTCATGACAGTTTTTTGTTTTGTTGTCAAAATCAGTTGTTACTGAATAAAAACAAATTATTTTTCTGGTAGTTAATAAATTTTATTTATTTATTAAATGAGTTTAAAATTGTGTTAAATTTATTGTTATATAAGTCATATTATTACTTAATTATGTTATGCTTAATTATAAAGTATTTGTTACTTACTTAATTTTCAATAAATTTGTTAAAGAAATTATCTAGTTTTAGTTTTCTGGTAATCAAAGATAATGGCTCACTCCTACCATTTGCTTGGTTCACTCCTACCCATGCATGGGTAGAAGTGAACCAATAGCAACACCTGCGTTATTGTTCAAGTTATTAAAAATCTAAAGATATTTTGATATTTCTTGGATTACTATTAGAAACCTAATACTTTAGGCTACCTTAGGCTCCTTATCCTATACTTTATCCACTTTTGGTTTCCTTGATATAATCGATTTAAAAAAAAGTGGCTCCTACCCATCTTCCCCTACTTTTGGATCATTAGAACTAAACAAAGTTAGTTCGTGCTTCAGCCGCTTGATTTGTGAACTCAATGTTTACAAATTCTTAAAGTATTTTTGTTTATAGAATGAATGAAGACAACCAATCTTCAATCGATTTTAAATATTTATTCAGTAAAATTTCTTTATATTTATTCCTCACTTTTTAGTTGACAGTTTTTTCTATTTTTTGTCAAAAACTAAGTATATAGTGATTTTATTGGCTACAACTATGGAAGCAAACAAAAATTTTTGAAGCAAACAAAAATCCCCTTCCTCCTCCGCATGGTTTTGTAACTGATTTTGATAGAATAAATTATGCTGATTCAGAGTCATATAAAAATATTGAAAGTTTGTAAAAAGTATTTTGATTTAATACCAAAGTTTTAAAAATTACATTAAATAATAATTACATTAAATTACATAAGATAAGTTTAGTGGAACCTGCACAATAAGATAAAAGTCTGTCACTAATGTTAAGTATGCACAATAATCTGTTATCACAACAAGAGTAAAATTTTTATTTAGTAAATTTTATGTTGTTAACTTTTTCTATATGTTTCTTTATTCTGTGTTAGTTAACACAGATTAAAGATGAATTAATCTGTGTTTTTTTAATCTGTGTTAGTTTTAATTTTTAATAAAAAAATTAGAGATTTGAAAGAATTGGAAGTTTCTTTTTTTAGTTTTTTTTTTTAATTTAAATTTTTTATTTACATAATATAAAGTAATCTTTGAAGTATGCCTGTTTCAATAGTATGGTTGATCCATCAGTTTGACAAACCTCAAGTACTTTGTTTTACTTATATAAGGAAAACAGCCATGTTTTCCTTAAATAAGCTGAAACAACAACAAAAGGCAATATATTTACCAGCAGTATAGATATTTTACATAAGCATGTTATAAATTACAAAAAATATATCTGCAGTCTACATTCTGGATGGTTCACTCTTATATAGCCTGTCTAAATTGAGGAGAGCAATCATAAACAAAACAAAACATAAATAAATCAAATAAAATAAATAATACACACACAGAAGGTTGCTGTTAGTCAACATTCATTTTTATATCTTATATATCTTCTATGGTGATATATATTTTATAACCAGTGATACAATTGTTGTTTCTATTTATCTTGATGTAACAACTATTGATTTAATTTAGTTTTGAGGACATTTTTTTTAATGTTGTAAAAAGGGATTGTTTTCGATTTATTTTAAAGTTAATTCCAGTCCATTAATGCAAAATATTTAAAGGAATGTTTACCGTAGGATTTTGTAATATATGTTTACACACTCAGTGCACCACTACAAGATTTACTTGTGAGTTGAAAGCTAATTGCACCATAAAGAAAAACTATTTATTAAATATTGAGCTTTTTGCTTATGCAGCTGTGAATAAGTAAACAATTTTCAATTTTGATTATGTCATGTAATTTTAAAATTTGCAGTATTTAAAGATGTGAATGTATGGGTACTTTTTGGTAGAAGTTCAATAATCCTAACTGCTTTTTTCTGCATGATAAATAGGTGATTCACTTATGTTTTGATTCCATTAATGAACACAATATGTTATGTGAAGGTGAAATAAAGTGTAGTAAATAGATTTTAAAGTTTTTTGTTGTATAAAATGTCTTAGCTTTGATAAAATGGCAAGAGATCTAATCAACTTTTTAGAGATATCATTATAAGTCCAAGCTAAGCTATTGTCTAGCTTTATACTATATAGCTTTATAAGTGGTTTACAAGTTTTTGCACCAAAGTTTTTCCCATTTAACTTAATTTTGAGCTGCTGGTCTAGTTTTTTTTTTTGTAATTTACTTCCCCAAGGCCAACAAAAATTTGCGTATAGTTTGGCATTAACAGTTTTAAATCAGTTTTAAGAGTAGATATAACTTTAGTAGTTTTTAAGTTTTCTGGGAAAATACAACTTGACAAAAAGATATTTGAAATGTTAGAAAAAATTCTTGAAAGTTTTTAATAGTTTTAATAAAAAATTTTAAACGATTGCTAAACATATTTAATTTAATGACATTAAATTTAGAGTAGTTAGTTTAGCAGCAAACTTAAATTTGTTTAAAAAAAGTTTGTTAAATAAATTTTATTGTTATAATTCTTTGAGGTCTTTATATGTATACTAATTTATTTATAAGTATACTAGTTTATTTATATTTAGAAAATTGACAGCAAATGCAAGCATTGGGAGAAACTTTTTTTGGAAATTGCTGTTTATGAAAAAAGGTATGTCCTAATCAAATTATTATATTAAAACTGTCTAGTAAGAGGATAATTCGTTACTGTTTAGAAACAAAATAGACTTTGTATATGAAGTTCAATATTTTGTTAAAACTGGAAAGAAAACTTTTATATACATTAGGAATTTTTGAGGAATCAGGACTCTTTGAGCATTAAAAGGAAGTATTTAATTCCCCATTATAAGACAAAAAATAATACATTACACACTAAAAACAAAAAAAAATTGTTATATAGTCAAGATTTTTAATTCGATTGAAAAATTAGAATTTTTAAAAGCCAATATTCTCAAATAATGCAGAGGTCTAGATAACAATAAAGAATGAAGTAAGTTTATATTTAGATATGAATTCATTATAAACAGAGCAGCAAATTTATGGAACACATTGGGAACACAGCAAAATTACGGAGTGCATTGGAAGTAGTCAAGTCAACAAATGTAAACAGTTTTGAGAAAAAATTAGACAAATTTTTTTTTTTTTTTTATTTTCAATTTTCAGTTTTTGCTGAAAATTGAAAAAAATTATCAAAAGTTATATTTGTTAAATTGAAGTTATATTGTAGTACATTATCAAAAGCTTTCGAAGTGAGTTTCTAACTCACTTGTTGATAAGGCAGCTACAGTTTGTCTAATACTATGATTACTATATATTTTCAAATGTAAGCATCAGTTTTTTCAGCAATTTTTAGTATTTTGCTGTAACTGATTATATATATATATATATATATATATATATATATATATATATATATATATATATATATATATATATATATATATATATATATATATATATATATATATATATATATATATATATATATATATATATATATATATATATATATATATATATATATATATATTCCTAGAGTTGGAGATTTTTTAAACCCATATGTTTTTATATAGTGTTTAGTTTTGAATACTTTTAGTTATGGTAGAAAAAGAAACTGTTTTAAAAGTAGTTGTTTTTTTTAATTAATGAATCTGCTGCATTACACAAAAAACGCAGATATATATATATATATATATATATATATATATATATATATATATATATATATATATATATATATATATATATATATATATATATATATATATATATATATATATAATATATATATATATATATATATATATATATATATATATATATATATATATATATATATATATATATAAATATATATATATATATATATATATATATATATAAACTCTGTTTTTTTTCCAGTAGCTCCCAACCTAATAGTTGTTGCTTGCCTTGTTGGGAGTGAATCAGAATTAAAAAAATTTGTAGAATACATTTAAAATTAATTTTATATATATATCAGGGTGGTCACAGCTGGTCTGAGATCCTTTAAAGTCCTCTTTTTTTAAAAATCTCCTCTAAAATCCCTTATTATCTTCTAAAAAATGGAATATGTTACAAATTCCTAATCTGCAAAACTGGTTAATGTCGTAAAGGGCATTGGGTTGTAAAAAATCAATTTTAGGAAATCGATGTCATCATTGTTGTAGATAGTTTTATATATTGTTATATATTTCATGTTATGTAAAATTTCTTTAACATAAATAGATTTATATAACATAGACACCCAAAAATTGTGACATATGTTGTCATCTATTCCAAATGTTTTAAAAAATTACCTTTAAGTATGAGTGTTTGTGAAACTACTGGCAACCTGCTTGTATGGCAAGATATAAAAGTCTCATTAACTAAAGTTTGCAGGTAATCATCCTATAAGGTTATTTTTTATAGATAGATTTAAAAAAATAGATAATTTTTGAATGTATTTTAGCCTATGCTGATGTAATTTTGAAGTTGTGCAAGGGGGCAAGGAATTTAGACGTTACAGTACTTACACACAAACTAATCTCAATATACTTGAAGAATTAATAACAAAAATAACTTTCAGAAGATTACCAATACTTTCTTCCTGCCATCTTTAAAATGTTTAAAAAATTAATTTACTGTGGATGAGTGAAATAAAAACGTTGTTTAAGAAGAATTTTTACTACATTTATAAAGTTTACTTTATAAGGCATAAAATTGGCAGTAATTTTTGTTTGACAATTGCTGTTTTCACAATTTTTTTAGACTCAATCACTTTTGATTCAATTCAATTTATTAACAAATAAAAAACGGTTTTCGACTTTAACGGTTGATATTATTTTTAAACTTCGTTGAAGAAACTGACATTGCTCTAGCATAAATTGAGATCGACCTGATGAAAGATGGTATTATTTATATATGTGATTATTAATAAAAGACAATTAGTTTTTAAATGATCAGATGAATGCTGGCCTTTATTATATGGCAGGTTGTGTATTATATTTTGTGCATAGTTAATGTAACAATATCAGTCTCTTTGTTCCAAAATTAAAATTTATGTTTCGCATAGTAAATTGGCTTTTCTTTTCGTTTCTTTTGCATTTCTTTCGTTTTTGTTAAATATTGTTTTGTAAAATTTATTGTCTCTCTAATATAATATGAATGTGCAGCCAATATTTTTTAATTCGTATTTTTTATTTTTTATAAATAATAGAGCTAAATATATTTATGGATTATTATACTATTGTTTAATAGCTTAATTGTTTTACTTTTTTTTCCGTCGATTCTGTCCTCGCCACTACATTAAATAAGTGACTACATAAAAATAAATGTATGGTTTTAGTAATCCCTGATGTGGCAGTATAACTCTTACTTGTTTTAGGTTAATTGAGCAAGGAATTTTTTTTAGAAAATCACCTAAACATGGGGAAAAATTCAAGAATCTGTCATCTAAATCAGAAAAATGCTTGATATATTATGAAATCAAATATTTGTTAATATATTATCTTAAAATGATAACATTTGTTATCGTTTTTAGATAAAATGAACATAAATTTTTATTTAACGTGGCTTTTTATAAACAGCAGCCGTGGCGCAGTGATAATAATTATAACTCAGAACGAGGAGGTTTAATGCCGGCTCTAACCCAATAACCGTCATTGGAAGGGAAGAAAACTTTCTAGATAAATGCTCCTCCTCTGTGTTCTATGATGAGAACTTTATGGCTTTTTGGAGAAACTTAACTACCAAAGATAACTTTTAATTTACTGGCAACTTAGAAGGAAGGGTCACCCTGCTAAAATTTTGAAGTAGTGCAGTTCCGTTTAATGTTTAGGTCTCTCTGTTGACTTTAACCGCCACTGCTCATATTAGAAAAAAAACAGCATTCCATAGATTCTTTTTTACTGCACTCAAAATTTTTTCTTTGATGCCTTGCCAATAGAAAAGCATTTTTTTCATTAGGTTCTAACACATAAATGAATTCTAACAAAAAGCCAACTTAATTTTCTACAAGTGTTTCTTGTCAAATTTACAGTTCTAAAGTCTTTGACCGTACTCAATCCTTTGATTAAATATTTTTGAGTAATTTCTTCAGAGACGATTCATTAATTGATCCGCGCGTAATTTGAAACTTAAATGTTACTTTTTTCTGTTCAATTTGATTTGGTTCAAAACAAGGATAAACAAAAACTCTTTCAAAAGTCTTGAACTGAGACCAAAAAAGCTAAAAGCTACATTTTGTTCAGTCTTTTACAATGTTTCAAAATGTTTTAGTCTGTTTAACATCGTCCATAATAGCTTTAAAAATATTTGTAAAAGATTCTAGTTATTGGTGAGGACCTTAAAAGATATCTAGCGTTAATGTTGCTCAGTAGGGTGCAGTGATAACATTAAAAAAATTTTTTTTTGAACATTATTTTGCCTGGGTGTGCAAAAGTTTTTTTGTTTTTTTTTAATTAGTTTTGCTTCCAACAAGGTTGCAAGCAACCACTAATTAGTGTTGGAAGTTACAGGAAGAGAAAAGATGGAGATTGTAGAGCAAGATAACGATTGTCAGACGACTTAAAAGATTGCAAATTATATGAATTAGGAAAGCAAGATGAAGAAAGCGAGTTGCAAAGAACTGATGTTCGAGGAAAAAAACTAGACGAATAAGAGTTTTTGGAGCACTTAGGAGCAGTAACAGAAAAAGGATGAGACTTAATTGAATGACGAGTAACACGAGAATGAATTTTAGTAGATGGCACAAGAGACGCTAGCTCTTTAGAGCAGTGCCCATTATAGTATTTGTAGAAAAGAGAAAGAGAAGCAACATTACGACGATGTGACAGAGGTTGAAGGTTGGCTGCAAGAGCAGGTCCAAGTATGTTCACAATGCGCTTTTGCACCTTGTCTAAAAGAGAAAGGGCATCATTAGAAGATCCGCCCCAGATATGGCAACAGTATTCCATATAAGGCCGGATTTGAGATTTATAGAGATAGAGAATAGAATCCAGAGTAAGAAAGTGACAAGCTCGATAAAGAGAAGCAACTTTAGCAGATGCTAATTTTGCAACGGATTTGATATAAGGTTTCCAAGAAAGATCAGAAGTAAGAGTTAATCCCAGAAGATGAAGGGTAGGACACTCATTGAGTACATTACCGTTCATATATATAGGAAGGTGTAAATTATTGCGATAACAATAGACCGAAAAAAATTGAGTTTTATCTGAATTAAAATTCACCAGCCACTGCGAGTTCCATGCTGTAGCAGAAGTGAGATCCTTTTCGAGCTCAGATGCCCCCTGCAAGCAATCAGAGGGAGTTGGCTTCTTATCAAGAAGCCAACTCCCTCTGATTGCTTTAAGGAAAGATTCAATAATCTTAAAGATGTTTCCAGATACACCATAAGAAGAAAGCTTATGGAGGAGACCAGCATGCCAAACTTTATCAAACGCTTTAGAAATGTCAAGAGCAATGGCCTTAACCTCTCCGCCTTTATCTAATGCGCGATAAAACCTATCGGTTATTATATCAAATCAGCCGTAGAACGAGAAGATCGAAATCCATACTGATGATCAGAAAGTAGGTTATGAGATTCGAGATGAGAGATTAAGTGTTTGTTAATTAAAGATTCAAAAACCTTGCTTATGATAGGAAGAAGACTAATGGGACGGTAGTTAGATCAGTCAGATCGCTCTCCAGAATTTTTAAAAATAGGGATAACAGATGCTGCTTTCCAGCAGGCTGGAAAACAAGACTCTGATAAGCACTTGTTGAATAGTTTTGAAAAGATAGACGACAGCTCAGGAGAACACTTCTGCAAGACTATAATAGGTATGTTGTCCGGGCCGCAAGCTGTAGAAGAGTCTAAGCGGGAAATCACTTTAGAGACAGAAGCTGGAGTGATATGAATGTCGAGCAATGGATCAACCTGTTTGACGGGTATATCAGGTAAAACGCAACTAGTGGCATCAAGAGATGATATTGATGAAAAGTTCTTGGCAACCAATTCAGCTTTGTCTTTAGGTGAGGTGACAAAGTCTGAACCGAACAAAAGAGGTGGAATTAGAGACTTGCCCTTATTATTGATACTATTAAAGATTCTCCAGAAGTCACGAGAGCCTAATTTTTGTGATCAAATACGAGATTTTATGATCTGAGAATAGCGGGTTTTGGCGTTAGACAAAACCTTTTTACAATGGTTCCTAGCAGTAATAAAGAGACGTCTGTTTTCTGGAGAATTGTTTTGCTGATAGATATGGAAGTAATGGTTTCGATTGGCAATTGCAGCAGCACAATGTGAGGAAAACCATGGAGAAGAGTGAGGCTTGACCTGGAATCGTCGAGAGGGAATAAAGGATTCCATGCCAGCCTGAATCCACAAAGTTATGTAAGAAGCACATTTGTCAACAGGGAGACGAAAGATTTCTACCCAGGGGCCATCACGAAGAAAGTAACGAAAAGAGTCCCAGTCAGCTTTAAGGTAGTTGTAAGATGTACGATGATAGGGGGATTCTAATAGTAAAGAAGAATGAGATAATAGTTTTAGAGAGACCAAACATGATCAGACGCACCTTAGGGTGAGTGTGAAGAAACTGAACACTGACTAGGATCAGAAACAAGACATAAGTCGAGTAGAGAAGGTAAATGATTCGGGTTGTCTGGAAAGCGAGTTGGAAAGTTGACTATTTGAGTTAGGGATTGAAAAAGACAAAAATTGTGGGCCTTAATGCCTGCAGAGTCACTGACACTAGAGCCAAGCCATTCAGTGTGATGAACATTAAAGTCACCGACAACAACAATATTGGCTGATGGATAAAGAATGAGGCCTTGGTCAATATAATCAGAAATAACATCAAGAAGACTGCAGTCTTGGGATGAGGGAGAGCGATATAGAACAAAGAGAAAGGTGATAGAGTGAAGTGGTGCTAAACGAAAGCACATAAAAGAGTAGTCTGTGGATTCAAACCTAGTTTCCCGACAAATGGGTGAGTTCTTACGAATGTAAATGCCCAGGCCAAGCATGTGACTCTTGGGATCTTTTCGAATTGAAGGAAGATAACCATCAACACTAAGATCACAAGATGAGACAGCTGAACTCAAATTAGTCTCACAAAGAGCAAGCAGGTCTGGTGAATTTTGCAAGAGATAAGACTCAACAGAAGAAAAGTTACTTCGAAGACCACGAATATTGGTGAATGATAGGTTTAGCGAACTTGGTGATGACTGTGGTTTTTTGTGTTTTATAGTTTTTGTTACTTTATTCATTTTTAAATTTGTTAAAGAACTTGACTCGAAACATTGATAGTACTCAGTACACTGTTCTATAGCTCAAGCAATTGCCTCATTTCCACTAATAAACCCTAAGCCGTAACAAAGGGCTCCAATGTGGCCTTGGCAATGCACACCAAAAGTACAAACAGGGACACCATCCATGCGCAACATAGCACTGTTAGTACTCTAATATTTTTCAGCCTGTTGATGGAATCAGCCTCTCTGAGAGCTACCACAGAGTTTGGGAAACCTGACTACCAGCCGGCCTCGGAACCATAAAACTGAGTTTTAGAGCTGTACCCTCATTTGGAGATAATAGAATGAGTTGCCTAGTCATAAAAACAGAGACACAAGCAAAACCCATGAATCGAGTCAAGAAGATCCAGCGTTCAACATCCTAAACTGGAAACAATGTATTAAAAATACATCTGCGCCAGCCTAATAGATGACGAAGGGGTGCGAGGCTGGTCAACAGATAGAATCTGTTTACCCCTTAAGTTTTTGCCTAGGAGGCCTTCTACAAGACAGCAGCCGGATGCATGT